ACTCAGCAAGAAGAGAAAACTTCAGGCCAATATCCATGATGAACATACATGCAAAAATCTTCAATAAAATACTGGCAAACTGATTGCAACAGCACATCAGAAAGCTCATGATAAAGTAGGATTCATCCCGGGGATGCAAGGCTGATTCAACATATAAGTCTGTAAATGTAATTCACCACATAAACAGAACCAAAGACAAAAACCACGATTATCTCAATAGATGCAGAGAAGGCCTTTGACAAAATTCAACAGCCCTTTATGTTAAAACCCTCAATAAACTCAGTATTGATGGAACGTATCTCAAAATAATAAAAGCTATTTATGACAAACTCTCAGTCAACATCATACTGAATGGGCAAAAACTGGAAGCATTCCCCTTGAAATCTGGCACTAGACAAGGTTGCCCTCTCTCACCACTCCTATTGAACAAAGTACTGGAAGTTCTAGCCAGAGCGATCAGGCAAGAAAAAGAAATAAAGGGTATTCAATTAGGAAAGGAGGAAGTCAAATTGTCTCTACTTGCAGATGACATGATTGTATATTTAGAAGACCCTGTTGTCTCAGCCCAAAATCTCCTTAAACTGATTAGCAACTTCAGTAAAGTCTCAGGATACAAAATCCACATGTAAAAACCGCAAGCATTCCTATACACAAATAACAGAGTTAAAGAGAGCCAAATCAAGAACGAACTGCCATTCACAACTGCTACAAAGAGAATAAAATACCTAGAAATACAACTGACAAAGGATATAAAGGACTTCTTTAAGAAGAATTACAAACCACTGCTCAATGAAATAAGAGAGGACAAAAACAGATGGAAAAACATTCCATGCTTATGGTTAGGAAGAATCAATATTGTGAAAATGGCCATACCACCTAAAGTAATTTATAGATTCAACACTGTCCTCATCAAGCCACCAATGACCTTCTTCACAGAACTGGAATAAACCACCTTAAACTTCACATGGAACCAAAAGAAAGCCCGCATAGTCAAGTCAATTCTAACCAAAAAGAACAAAGCTGGAGACATCATGCTACCTGACTTCAAACTATACTACAAGGCCACAGTAATCAAAACACCATGGTACTGTTACGAAAACAGAGATATAGACCAATGGAATAGAACAGAGGCCTCGGAGGCAATGCCACACATCTACAACCATCTCATCTTGACAAACCTGACAAAAACAAGCAATGGGAAATGATTCCCTGTTTAATAAATGATGTTGAGAAAACTGGCTAGCCTTGTGCAGAAAGCAGAAACTGGACCACTTCTTGACACCTTACACTAAAATTAACTCCAGATGGATTAAAGTCTTAAACATAAGACCTAACACCATAAAAACCCTAGAAGAAAACCTAGGCAAAACCATTGAGGACACAGGCATAGGCAAGGATTTCATGAATCAAACACCAAAAGCAATGGCAACAAAAGCCAAAATAGACAAATGGGACCTAATCAAACTCCACAGCTTCTGCCCAGCAAAAGAAACAATCATCAGAGTGAATCAGCAACGAACAGAATGGGAAAAAATTTTTGCAATCTACCCATCTGACAAAGGACTTATATCCAAAATCTATGAAGAACTAAAATAGATTTACAAGAAAAAAATAAACAAACCCATTCAAAAGTGGGCAAAGGATATAAACAGATGCTTTTCAAAAGAAGACATATGTGAGGCCAACAAACATGAAAAAATGATCATCATCACTCGTCATTAGAGAAATGCAAATCAAAACCACATTGAGATACCATCTCATGCCAGTTAGAATGACGATCATCAAAACATCTGGAGACAACAGATGCTGGAGAGGATGTGGAGATATAGGAACACTTTTACACTGTTAGTGGGAGTGTAAATCAGTTCAACCATGGTAGGAGACAGTGTAGCCATTACTCAAGGACCTAGAAATACAAATTCCATTTGACCCAGCAATCCCATTACTGGGTATATATCCAAAGGATTATAAATCGTTCTACTATAAGGACACATGCACATATATGTTCACTGCAGCACTGTTTACAATAGCAAAGACTTGGAACCAACCCAAATGCCCATCAATGATAGACTGTACAGGGAAGATGTGGCACATATACACCATGGAATACTATGCAGCCATAAAAAACGATGAGTTCATGTCCTTCATAAGGACATGGATGAATCTGGAAACCATCATTCTCAGCGAACAGAAAAGCAAACACCACATATTCTCTCTCATAGGTGGGTGTTGAACAATGAGAACACATGGACACAGGGAGGGGAGCCTCAGACACTGAGGTCTGTTGGGAGGGGACTAAGGGAGGAACAGTGAGGGGTACGGCGTTGGGGAAGGATAACATGGGGTGAAATGCCAGATATAGGTGATGGGGATGGAAGCAGCAAACCGCATTGCCATAGATGTACCTATGCAACAATACTGCATGTTCTTCACATGTGCCCCAGAACCTAAAATGCAATAAAATATAAACCCTAAAAAAACAACTAAAACTGATTATAGCAGTTACTAGGGAATAAACCCATTTATCTTTCCTATCTCCAGTTTATACTAATAAAACCACAATAATGGAAAAAAAATCACAACTTAATGTAAATTTTTTTAATGTAAATTTTAAAATAACAATATAAAATTGTGTCAACTTTTATATAATAAGTTTTAAAAAGACTAGATAGAAATATATCAAAATGTTAACAAATTATCTCTAGTTTGATATATCTTCATTTTTGCAACTTTTTTCAAATCCTCTACAATGAGCATACTTTTATGATCACATTTTATGTGGTTTATGACCACAACAAAATTGAATAAAAAGAATAATTACCACATTTCTCTAAAGCTAGCCATAACCACGAGTGAAGAATTTTAAGTCTATATTGTAAATTATTACATAATTCTAACTTATTTAGAAATCTTTTGAATGATAGACATTAAAGCCTACTGTCATAGTCAATTTTTATCTTCCTAGTTCTCTGTCACTATCACTCTTTGCCATCTTTTTCTTTCGATTTTGGGCAGTAGTTTAGCATGGCAGAAAAAACACCTTCCTTGCACTCAAACTTCTAAATCCCAGCTCTATCATTATCTAGTTGTTTATCTCATCTTGTACATTAGAATAATACCACCAATTAAAGATATTCTGGTATATGGTAGCATCTAAATAAGGAGTAGCAACTATTATCCATCGGAATGTATTACTTACTAGCTAGCTTATAAGCACTTTGAGAGACTATGATTACCTTGTTCCACTATATCAATAATCTAGCACTCAGTCAGCAAGTCATAATTTTCAACACATTATTTGTCATATCCATTACTAACTTCACTACCTTTTTCAGGGAGAGCCATCTCAGGATTGTAGAAGGAGTATAACCTCTCTCCTCCTATTTGATTTTTATTTATTTTATAGAGATGAGGGCTAACTATGCTGCCCAGGGTAGTCTCGAACTCCTGGACTCAAGCAGTCCTCTCACCTTAGCCTCCCAAAGTGCTGGGATTAAAGGCCTGGCCCTCCTAGTTATTTTAATGGAAAGTCAGAATAACTTAAAAGCAAGAGAAATTCAAAGATTAAATCATATAGCTCTACACTATCCTTGGTAATAGTAAATAAATGAGTAAATAAGACAATTTTAGAGAGGGTAAATAATGTTATTACCTATTTAGGTCCATATTTCTAAATCATACGCTAAGCTGCTATTTTAGATATTATCTACTGACTTCCTGTTGTAGTAGACGAGGATGTTTACTATACTTATACTATCTTCCCACTACATTCATCCTAATTTTTGCTTAAACTAACTATAGTTCTACATTATGATTAGGGAAATACCATTTACTGTAAAGCCAAGTAATTTACTGTGATAATGTCTCCTTTCTTATAAAAAGTTTTGCTTTTCCTGTTGTGTCCCTATCCTTCATTTTTTACATTAGATGCTATTTACTCATCAACAGATTTTTTCTTCCCAATGCTTAAAAGTAGACTCAATAGATATGTTTATCTAGAAACCTCCTTTTTGTAGAGACAGTGTCTTGCTTTGTTGCTCAGGCTGGTCTCAACTTCTGGACTCAAGTAATCCTCCCATGTCACTTTCTGGACGAACTAGAATTACAGGCATACACGACTGTGCCCTGCCTATCTTTCATTTTGTCTGTTTGCTTATAAACAAGTTTTTCTTCTTAAATGTGAACGATTATTTCAATTAAAAAATCTTTTTGTTGTTTTTGTTTTAGAGGAAGCTTATATTAATAAAATATCCAGAAACAATGTCTCTGAAACAGGTGTTTTTATACATATTTTGCAAAAGAGCTAATGATAAAAATACCAATCAGCTAAAAAGAAAAGTAAGCTGATCTAATTTCACACCCTATTGTTCAAATTGGCATTTTAAACTATTGTGTCTTAATCAAAGCCACTCTTTTGTGTACAATAATCACAGGTAGAGCAACTACTATGTAGGGTAACTATAAATGATCAAAATAGGACACTTTTGAAAATGAATGGAGCACTATTAATAATTATGCCAGGACAATATGCATAATCTAAGCAAACCAGCCATTACATTACTAATAACCTCTTAGATGCTGAGCTTTTAAACTAATAAGGTATTACCAATCCCATGAAGTCCCCCTTTCAAACACCACACTACTATGCTAGTGCCCAATATAAAGATCACCACGGTGAAAACAGAAGATGAAAAAAATTAGCAAACATAGAATAAAAAATTTTTAAGATATTGATGTTTGCAACCCACCCTCAACAAGCACAGACACAAACAATTCATTTAGAAATTCACATACTTTCTGCTCAAAGGAAATAGTAATTCACACATTTAAAAATAGATAGAACTGAATACACTGGTAGAGTTTTCTTTCTCTCACTCAGAATTACTCAATTGAAGAAATAAAGAAAGGGTGAAAAATGATTAGAAAGAAAAGAGAATGAACTGTAGTTTTCTACCTGAAGTAGTTAAGACATGAGAGAAGAAATCACTAAATGCCCTTACCCATCCCAGAGTCTTTCTTGGTGCCATCTGATATTATGTCTACATGATCAGAGTCCACATCATAACTAAAGAAATCATTCAAATAGGTCTTTGATCGCTGGCCACCAAATACATATAAGCAACGATTTTTCTGAAAAAGAAGAAAAAAAAGAAGGAGAAAGTTGTCACTTCCATGAAGAACTCGGAATGATCCTTTAAAAACTGAAACCTCTACAAAAGTAATTTTATAACAGATCCCAAAGGAGTACTACACTGGAATATAAGGGAAAGAGGAAGCTCTCTATACATTGCTAAAAGGTCATCTCTAGGACATCCTGTTAAAGAAGAAAAGCAAGGTGCAGAAAGATATGTAGGTTGCTGCTTCCTTTGTGTAGGAATGGAGAAGAAGGAATATCTGTGCATGAGACAAAGAGAGAGGGAAAGCGGGACAGAGAAACAGAAAGAGGCAAAGGCAAGAGAGAGAGCATGCAAGCAAGAGTGAGAAGAGACTGTGTCTTTTTTTCAAAAACGAAGGATAAACCGAAACCTAATAAAAGACAGTTACCTATAGCGGCAGGAACAGAGCAGGAAGACAGGGATAAAAACCTAACTTCTCCAAAAATACCCGACACATGGTTTTGACTTTATAACCACGTATATATTTTTATTTAATTAGAAGACAAAATTAACTCAAAAGAAAAGAGAACCTAAAATCTTAGGGGAAAAAAACAAACAAACCTCTCTGTATATAAAGATATAATCATACAGAGAAGCAGTATTTCTAGAGATTTTAATACATACTTTTTGACTATCTGTCACTAGAAGTCTAAATCCTAAGCAGAAAAATAATCAGAAACCAATGTGAAACAGCACTCAGTGATTCTGTTACTAAATCTTTCTTTTGAGTTTTGTTACTGTGAAAGCTATTATAGACAGACAAAGCAAGTAATGTTATGACATAGGATTTTAACCCTGAAAGACACAAAAATAGGCCCAGCATGGTGGCTCACACCTGTAATCCTAGCATTTATTTGGGCAGGCTAAGGTGGAAGGACTGCTTGAGACCAGCCTGGGCAACACAGCAAGGTCCCATCTCTACTACTACTATTACTGCTTCTGCTGCTGCTGCTGCTACTATTACTACTACTACTAATATAAACCCAGGTGTAGTGGTATACACCTATAGTTCTAACTACTTGGGAGGCTAAGGTGGGAGGATCATTTGAGCCCAGAAATCGAGGCAATAGTAAGCTACGATTTGCACTCCAGATGAGGTGGCAGAGCAAGACCCTGTCTCTAAAAAAAGAAAAAATATAAAATAACAAAATAGAAGACATTAAGATAAAAAATTTTATTTGAATGAGACATATCAGTATGAACATATGATTTAATTTTTCTCTTACGAAAAAAATACATAAGTATCTTTATATCTATCTAGCCAAAAAGAAAAATTTGAGTAAAAATGGCTGGGTGTGGTGGCTCACACCTGTAAAATTCCAACACTTTAGAAGGCCAAGGCAGGCAGATCACCTGAGGTCAGGAGTTCAAGACCAGTCTGACAAACATGGTGAAACCTTCTTTTCTACTAAATACAAAGAATTAGCTGGGCATGGTGGAACATACCTATAATCCCAGCTACTTGGGAAGCTGAGGCAGGAGAACTGCTTGAACCCAGAAGGCAAAGGTTGCAGTGAGCCAAGATTGGGCCATTGCACTCCAGCCTGGGCAACAAGAATGAAACTCTGTCTCAAAATAAAAGAAGAAGATGGTATTGGATAGAAACACATCAAATATGTAAAATTCTTAATAAAATTTTTATACACATATCATGGTTAACTTTGGAGCCTCAAAGTTAACTCATTCATATGAAAATCAATAAAGGAAAAAAATGAGACATTTATACTGCCTATTCAGTATGCTTTACATTTCAGGTTAACCAAAAAGTTAAAGAGAGGAATTTTTTTTTTTCTTTTGTAATAGGAGAATCACACACTTAACAAATGCAGAGGAAATGACATCATTAGAAAAATCACCATCTTATACATCCTAACAAAATTTAGGCAATGAATGGCTATAAAAACCATTAGGTAAAAGTTTGAAAGAAAACTCTAATTGATCAGTCAGGCTAGTAACACCCAGACCTATTAACATCATCAAAAGTATGACAACCAATCATTAAATGCCTCTTTATATTTTACAATGAGAGTGTCTATGAAGTGTTCTTGCCCATTTCCCCTGCCCCCGCCACCAAAAAAAAAAATAGTGAATCTAAAATCAAGCCTCCAGGTGCAATTACCAGTTTTTAGGAAATATGAAAAAGGAACGCATTAAATGACACTATGAAGAAAAAAATCAAAATCAAAACTGGAAATCTGGGAGATTCTAGAGCACAAATGTCTCGTTTAGTGGGTTGTATATTGTGGGGTAGGGAATAGGAGGAAAGAGTACTATTAAGGATTTTTTTTAAATGTTAAGAGACAACAACCAAATGCAAAATACCTTTTTTGAATCTTGACTTAAACCAACCAACTATGAAAAGATATTTTTCAGTATATGAGAAAAAAATACAGATAGAATATTATATGATATTTAAAAAACTGCCTTTATTTTGGTTGATAATTATATTATAATTATGTTTCCTTTTTCTTTCTTTTTTTCTTAAGAGGCTTGCCATATTGCCCAGGCTGGAGCACAGTGGCTATCACAGCATGATTCCACTATTGATCAGCATGGGAGTTTTGACCTGCTCTGTTTCTGACCTAGCCAGTACACCCCTACTTAAGCGACTTGGTGGTCCCTCGCTTCTGGGAGGTAACCACACCAACGCCAAACTTAGTGTGGACAACTGATCAGCACAGTGCAATGTGGCCCAGAAATGGGCTCCAGCAATCCTCAGCCTCTGGGTAACTGGAACTGCAGGTGTGCACCAGCATACCCAACTGCAACTATGTTTTTAAAAAGTCCTTATCTGTTAGACTTACACACTATATAGTCTAACAGTAGTATTTACAAGTATAATGATACAGTATTTGTAATAAATAGTATTTATAAATATAGTAGTATTTACAAGTATAATGATACAGTATTTGGGATATGCTTTAAAACAGCATGTGCTATAACAAGATGTTGTAGAAAAGGATTAAATATTTAAAAAATACTCCAGCACAATAAAATTTAAGAATAAACTTAAAAATCAAAGGATCAAGAAAGTGAATTAGAGTAGCTGTATGAAAAATGAACAGATTACTGATAACTGTTGAAACTAACAAATGAGTACACAAAAAGTATTAATTATATTCTCCTCTACTTTGTAGAGAAAAACATGTTTAAAATACATGTTAAAGAACACGTATAAAATATTCCATATTGTTTTAAAGCTGTGTTCATAGAAAGAAGACCAAGATTTCATCAAAACATTTGAAAAGGTTAAAAAAACTCTGTACGTTGGGTTTTGCTGATTTATTTATTTATTTATTTCTATTATTATTATTATCGAGACAGAATCTCGCTCTGCCACCCAGGCTGGAGTGCAGTGCCATGATCTTGGCTCACTGCCGCCGCCTTTGCCTCCCAGGTCCAAGCGATTCTCCCACCTCAGCCTTCCGAGTAGCTGGAATTACAGGCAGGTCACCACGCCAGGCTAATTTTTTGTATTTTTACTAGAAATGGGGTTTTGACATGTTGGCCAGGCTGGTCTTGAACTTCTGGCCTCAAATGATCCACCGCACCTGACCATTGCTGATACATTTAAATTCTAATGCTATAAAATCAAATCTTAAATTATTTGTTCTTAATGGAGAATAGCAGAAGGGAAAATAAGAGAGAAAAAAATTGTCTAAGAAAGACATAACTGTAAGAGAAGTTAGTAAATGAAAAGGCATAAGAAAGGAACATAGCTAAAAAATCTACATAAGCTGTTAAATTAGCCATAAGATTGCCCAGATTGGTAGTCAGGTAATAACTATTTGGAAATTGCCAGGTTGATGGGAAGAGTCTCATAATTAGCAAACAGTTCACTGTTAGAGAAGTTTGTCTTTCTCTGTCATTGCTACACTAATGATTTATTCCTAAGGAAAAGTTTTTAATCTCTTCCTGAAGAATTAGATTTCACCACTTCTTTTCCTGTCTAGACAGAAACAACAAAATAACATTTATGCAATATACGGAATATTCTTACTGAGTGGAATAGCATGCAGTGTCCTATTCGAGACTGGATATCCTCAGGCCCAGCATTACAGGAGTCCTCTCGAAGAAGTTTCCAGGTTTGACATTGACAGTTGAAAGCAAATAAGCCACTGAATTGTGGTTCACTGGCTCTGCTGTCATCTACACTGCCATTACAAGTCAAAATTCTACCACCAAAAGTGTAGATCATATGTTTTTCTGAGTCCATACACATCTATCAGAAGAAGGCAAAAGATTGAATAGGTTTAGTTCGTTCCTGTCATATGTGCTAAAACAAAGCCAACACGTGCAGTTTTACATTCTCAAAAAAACCCTGAACTTTGCCCCTAATGACACTAAATACCACCCCTGATTATCATAGGCAAGTTTCTAAATACTTTTTCAAGTTGTCATTTTTCCCAGTGAGAGTAAAAACATGTTGAGATAAAGAGCTTTCTGCTTTCCTGAAATTGCATAATTTTAATCAAAATCAACCAATAATACATGAGGCATTGATTTATATGTAAGAGTGAATACTTATATTCTGGGTGGATAGTGATCATACCCTCCTTATAAAAATTCCCTTCTTTCATTCTAGGCAAGCATCCTATTAATATTGCTACCATTTATTAAGAGATGCAAATATGAGTGATGCAGCTAAATTCACCTCTCTGCATTTATTTTTATAAAACCCTTCAAATTACATTACAAAATAGTAAAACATACAAAAAGACATTTACAACAATCAAGTCTCCAGAATGACTTTTACAGTGTGAAGAACTCTGCCTCCTTTTAACATAGCACTATAAATTTAATTTTCTTTCAATTAAGCTATACACTTCATGTTTAAAAGTTAAGCTTTATTCTTCTATTCTTTTAACTCAAGATCATAGCTTTTCATAAAAATGTATGAGAAAACAGCCATTTGTCACAAGACAATAAGAATCAAATTCTGTTTCAAATAATACATAAATCCAAGTTGGGAATTAGATGTTGAACATAAGTGGCATTTATATTGAAGAATTATGTACATAAAATATCTATGTTTTGCTAAAAAAAAACCAATTAAACATTTTATGTTTAATTCTCCTACAAATTACTTCTGTTTATCAATTTTTGTATTTTTAAATAAAAGGCTATTTTCATAATTTTAAAGGTTTAAAAAATTATTATTAAAAAGAAAAGATTCTAACATCTCCTAATTCTTATCTACCACTAAAAAGATCCATCTCATTAGCCATTTCCCAGGTTTCTCAAAGCCTTCCATAAATTAAGATGAAAATTTATTTCCCAAGGTGAAATCTTGGTAAATATGGTTGAAAAACAAAGATCTCTGGCATACCACAGAAAGTATTCCTATTTTTAAAATGATCATATAGTTAAAATCAGCATGCTGCTGAAGACAACTCAATTTGATTCCATCCAACTACGGCCTCTGTTGATGGCTCCACTGGAGCTAGGTCACATTACCCTTCTGAAGTACTTCAGACTCAACCACTCCAAATATCTGGGAACTATGCTGAAAATCTTGAGGGACTCACATTAAATGAGGCTATTTCCATTTTTTATTAACTCATATGCTAATGGCCAATCTCTGCTACCAACCCCCACCTTTCTACTTCATATGGCTACAAAGAGAGTTTTTTTCTTTTTGAGGATATTCATGTTTAATTTTGATGTGACTTATTCTCATTTGTTTGCAGGGCTGAAGTATAAATATTTTTATCTTGGTATTTCTTCCTAGCACACCAGTCTAAACCAAAAAACCTTTTAATATCCGATTTCCACTCTTTTGATTTATTTTGCCATGTTTAATCTCTGAAAAAAATCTCAAAAGCTAGAAACTTATTAAACTCTGTGTGATAATATGCTTTCTATCAAAGACTCCAAAAAAATCTTTAAAGCCAGAAGTTGAAATACTATTCATTTATTATGCCAGGTTAGATATTTAATTTTTAAAATCAAACAAATAGTGAATAACCACTTATTTTCCTGGGAAAAAATATTTTTTGAACCTGAAAATGACTTTATTTACCCTACCACAGGAATACAAGATTGGTAAGGTTTTGGCTGGGTTCAAAATAATCTCCTCACAAAATATGAAGATACTGCTATAAAGCCTTCTAAGTATCCACTGTTGTCCAACCTACCACCCTCCCTTCTACAAACCTCCAAAAATGCCTCATAACCCAATGAGAATGTCAATGAGCTGAGATCTTCAATTCTTCAACTCAAGTTTTTCCTGATACTTCTTGGCTAGCTCACTTTCCATTTTCTAGTAATTTCCACAAAAAGTGATTGCACTTGAAGAACAGTTTGGCTAGATATAAAATTCTTGGCTCACACTGCCTTTTCTTGAATATCTTCTAGATGTTGCTCTATTATCTCCTGGCACTGAAAGTAGATAGAGAGAAATGTGATACCAGTCACATTTTAGTTCTCTTATAGGTGACTTGATCATTTTGTCTACTTGCTATAAAATGATCTCTTAACTTTTATAGTCAATGTTATTAATATATGTCTTAGAGTTAAGTATTTGGGTCGATTTTTCCTGAATACAATATGCCCATCTGATATGTGAATCTTTCCTCAGAAAAATGTTCTTGAATTCAACTGATAAATATTTGTTTTGTTCCATTGTTTGGTTTTGTTTTAAAGTCTCCAGTTATATATACGTTGGCTCTCCTCTACCTATCTTCCCTGGTTAATCATTTTTACCTCTTTGTTTTCTTTTATCTTACTCCTATGCTATAGGATCATTACCTATTCTTTTCAATGCTCTGTGTAGGTAAGTTTTCATTTCTAAAAGTGGCAATATACTGGGATATAACTTCCATTTACTTTTGTTTAAAGAAAATGCTGTTATTTTTCTTTTTATTGTCTTTCTTTAGAATCTCTCTCTAAGCTTTGTAATTTATTGCTTTTTCGTTTTTCATAGTTCAGTTGAATTTCCCTGGACCACATAACTTTACAGAGAATTTCTTTGGAAGGTGGATGTTCTTGCTCAAGAAATCCTTCCTCTGTTTGAATGGCTCCTTCAAAATACAGCACTTCTGTGAAGCCATACCTTCTCTAATTCTATGAATCTCATCTGGCTTACAGGGTTGTTCTCAAGCTTTGAGCTCCCCCAGTTTTTTACTGGCCATTGCAAAAGGAGCCATCATTCCCACTTGTCACTGTTTCCTTCACTTTTATAAAATAGTGCTTTCTGACATATATCACCTCCGGATCTTTCTGGGTACTTTATATGTGTTAATTATCCGACTCTTCCAGTGGCTGCCCTGGGTAAAATCTGTGGCCTGTCCCTGACACTTCTCACTATGACGTACAACTGCTAGGCTCCCTCTGCATTCCCAGGTCTCCCTATTATACTGCTGTGGGCTTCAACAAAAGTTCTGGGTATTTCCGTTGTTTTTGGCTAAACTTACAAGGCATTGGGAATTGTAGGTTTACTGTGGCTCTTGGTTTTGCTGAGAGAGAGAGAGAGAGAGAGAGAGAGAGAGAGAGAGAGAGAGAGAGAGTGTGTGTGTGTGTGTGTGTGTGTGTAAATCTTTTTGTTTGATTATCACTGTTCCTGAAAAGCCACACAAAGCAACATTGTTCTTAATAAAGCCACTATGTTCTTAAATCCAGTCTTTAAATTGTATTTCTTAAATATGTTAAAATTAAAAATGGCAAATAGCTTTTAGGCCTGCCTTTATCTTACAGCTTTCTCATATTTTTATCAAATTTGTACATTATGTGTTAAATCCTAATTGTCATGAACACCACAAGTTATTTTTGGGGTTCTAACTTATAGCTTTATTTGCATGAAATAGAATAGCAAATGTAGGAGTATACAGATTACTTGCTCACTGTTACAGCGCTAGCTGTTGGCTGAATTAGTACTGAAATCCTTGTTTCTTCACCCCCAGTGTTCTGCTGTACCATCTAATCAGTTGAAAACCATGCATTATTTAACAGCACCCAGCTTCCAAGAAACATCCTATTTTATAAAAGTCAAGAGAAACAAAGGCTACATGCAGGAACTCTCTATGTACTACTCCTAAGCTATTCTTTTTTCAACCTGTAAAAAAAAAAAAAAAAGACATCAGCATCTTTTGTAAAAGAAATACCTAACCATTTGGGAACAAGAGAATAAACTGTTCCCTAATGATATTATCTGCTGATGTTTTTAAAAGATCAGAACCAGATTAACTTTTCTTGCCATGCTTATTTTGCACAGGAATAACATTGAGACTGTCAGCAAGGATGTGTGTAGCTCTGTAGAGCTCAGTTAATTAGAGCCAACAGAAGTTCCAAATTCAAGCTGGGGAGTATTTTGAAGACTACAGCTTTTGATTTTCTACCTACCACTTAAGTTGATAGGCATAATTCACTCTTCTTCTCCTTACCATTCTCCAATAACAATTACATATTAATGTAAATATGGCAATAGTATAGTTCAAAAGCAAAGAATTAACAAAAATCTATAAAGACACAATAAATAAAGACCCTGGGTTCTAACTCCTAGATAAGATTTTAGGTCTCACCTAGGTTTTGTCATAATTGTAGTAACACCTCCCATTTCCCAAATACTAGATAATTTATGTTCATCAATACAGAGATATAGGTTTTTAAAGTCTTATTCTCTGCAATATACCAAAAAAACTTTGGACATGGGTTGAGCCAGATAAAAACTTGCTTATAGAATTCAAAATGATTACTGTCTTTTTGACCTACATTGAATTTGTATGGATTAAGTATTCAAAGGCAGATAACAATGACAATGATGGGGCTAATGAGAGCTACATACATATTAATATTAAAATGGCTTCCAATTGGCTATGTTCAGTCTTCTAGTCTACAAAATTATTGTACAATTTCTACTGGCGCTGAGTTTAATCTAGTATGTCAAATTCCTCTTCAGGTTTATAAAATTTTGTGATTATAAACAAAACAAAATAAATTTCACTCTAACTGGAAAAAAAGTTCTAGATTTCATCCAGTTCATTATAAAGTGATTTTCAATTTCTTATAGGAATGTAGAAGAAATATAATTAAAAGATTAACTTGTTATGATTTATGCATATTTATTATAAAACTAAATTTGTTTTTCTTAATATTGCTCTACCTATTCTCTAAAGTTTCTAATCAACAATTTACATCCTGAGATCTTCATATTTTACCCTGTAATAAAAAAGAGAAAAAATGTAAAGAATAACTTTACTCAAACAGTAATTACTATCTGTCATAGGTATTTGTCATGGAAAGCACTATTAGACAACTCAGTATAACATCTAACATAAACTCTAATTCCAAGAATCACTAAGCACTGATTAATTCCACCATATATTTAACTGTGCATCAAACCTGATGATCAAACACCAATTTCGGCCCTCCATCAGCAGCAGTATCCTCACTTAGTAACATCCAAGTGTTTGTATCAATGTCATAACGATAGAAATCACTTTTCAGAGATTTGCTGTTCCTCACAGAGGAATCCAAATAACGCCCCAATGTGTAGATTTGCCTCCGTTGAATGTCAATGCACATTTTATGACATGATCTGGCACTAGGACCATTCTGTAGAGAGAGAGAGCTAAATAAATAAAAGCACACACACAAAATTAAAGAGCAAATAGACAATAAAATTAAATGCCCTTTTTTATTACCTTACATTAAAAGGTCTCTCAGAAACTCACATCAAGTCAACTAATGAGTCCAACACTAGGCCTGACTCTCTAAAGGAAAGCAAAAGCAGTAAGCAGCAGGAGACACAAATCTTACCTTAGAAATGCTTAAAATCTGCCAGGAAATATGAGATGAACTATACGGCACCTTATGGCACTCTGTTTATAACATCTATATGGCTTATACCATATACTGCACTGCATTTTAGTCATTTGTGCACAGAGTTCAATTCCCCATTATATGTCAATCTACTTTAAGACATGTTGGGTCTTTAAGTACATTTCTGTATTTCTCATCAGAATTTAGCACAAAAGAGTTACTCCAAGAATATTTAGAATCAGTGAATTTCAAAAGTAGAAGAAACATCAATAAAATCTCTAGTTTAGTTTTCTTCTTTTAATGAGAAGGAAATATAAGACCAGGATGACACCTTTAATAAGCTGGTGACACAAACTAAATAAGAATCCAAGTCTTCGACTTCTTCATCCATTCTTTACATTATAAAATCAATTTTCCTGACTGAATAAATAGCACAGCTACAGTAAATAAATAGGGAATAATATTAAGAACAGCAAATTATCAACAAATTAATTAGTTGATATCACTTGTAACACAGGACCCAAAAAAACATAAAAAGCATTGTAATATAGTCAAAAGAGTTCACAGGGAAAAAAGAACTTCAACTGCACAGGGTTTGATTAGTTGAAAGGTGGAAAGGAAAGGAAACTAATGTTTGTTAAACAACTCCCAAGTTCTGTTTATACTATTATTGTGTTGTATGTGTTTCATCTAATCCTTACAACAACCACATAAGGAAATATTATCACCATTTCACAGAGTCAATCGTCACAAAACTAGGAAGATAGCAAATCTAAGCCTTTGTGTACCAGAGTCAAAAAGTGGGCTCTTTCACAATTTCAGATTATTTTTTTCTAGAAGAGAAACAAAGGCAAAAATATACTTGTTAATACAGTGCATGCAGTTATGACTCAGATGAAGAGTTCCTGCTGCAGATATAACAAAATTGAAGTATAAAGTGATACAGGAAGCCTCTGATGAATGAGCACTGGCAGACTAATTTTTTACAAAGGGAGAGAAAATACAAATTGCCAGTACCAGAAATGAAAGCAAGAAAGCAAGAAACCCATTACAGACTTCCTATAAATAGAGACAGAGAGACACACTGTTCAGTTATCAGTTTTAGATAAATTTTTTCAGAAAATAGAGGGAAAATGAAAAACTCTGTTTATCCACATTCTTTTCCATTCCTAGCTTATTTTATGAGGACAATATAACACTGAAACCACATGACAATACTACAAAGGAGAAGGGGAGGAAGAAGGAAGAAATGGGGAAGAGGCAGAGAAATCATTTACAGGTGGCTAGGACCCCTTATGAACACAGACAAAACCAATCTTTAACAAAATATTAGCAAACAGTAGCAATATATGAAAAGAATATTTTATAATAAAAAGGCATTTATCTCAGGAATGTAAAGTTGATTTTATATCTGAAAATCAATCAGGATAATTTGCTACATTAACTAAATAAAGAAGAAAAAAACACAGTTATATCAATACATATGTAAAAAAGAGCATTTGGTAAAATTCATTATTCATGATAAAAACTCATAGCAAAATAGGAATAGAAAGACTTTCAATCTGATAACAGATGTAAGAAAATGTAAAATTTACTATTTTTTAATGATGACATACTGAACACTCTTCCTCAGATATGAAACAAGACAGGGATGTTTTTTCTCACCACTTATATTTAACACTGCTGTGGAAGTCCATATCAGTGCAATAAGGTAGGCATTAAAAAATAAAATAAAGGCTGTGCCTGGTGGCTCATGTCTATAATCCTAGCACTTTGAGAGGCCAAGACAGGAGGATTCATTGAGTTCAGGAGTTCAAGACCAGCCTGGACAACATACAGAGACCCTATCTCTACACATAATTTAAAAATTAGCTGGGCATGGAGGCACATGCCTGTGGTCCCAGCTACTGGGGAGACTAAGGAGGGAGAATTGCTTAAGCCCAGAAGGTTGAGGTTGCAACAAGCCATGATCACGTCACTGCACGCCAGCATGGGCAACAGAGTGAAACTCTGTCTCAAACAAACAAACAAAAAAATAAATAAAATAAAATTATGACGAAAAAGAGAACAGAAAGGAAGAAGAAAAATGACTGCTTGTTTAAAACACTCTAAGGAATAAAAAAGAAGCTATTAGAAATAAGTACACTTAACAAAGTGGAATGATAGAAAGGCAATATTAACAAATCAATTGTATTTCTCTATATTACCAGCCAACAAATGGAAAATAAAAAATTTTAAATACCATTATAGTAGCACAAAAAGCAAAACACACTGATATCGACTTAACTAAAATATCATAAACCTCTTAAAATGAAAACTCGTAAGAGTGCTGAGAGATAATGAAGATTGAAATAAATGGAGACTAAACCACGTTAATGGATTAGAAAGATCCAATATCCTTAAAACACCAATTTGCGGCCAGGCACAGTGGCTCATGCCTATAATCCCAGCACTTTAGGAGGCTGAGGTGGGTGGATCACCTGAGGTCAGGAGTCCGAGGCCAGCCTGGCCAACATAGTGAAACCCCATCTCTACTAAAAATATAAAAATTAGCTGGGTGTCGTCGTAGGTGCCTGTAATCCCAGCTACCTGGGAGGCTGAGACAGGAGAATCACTTGAACCAGAGAGAAGGAGACTGCAGTGAGCCGAGATTGTGCCACTGCACTCCAGCCTGGGTGACAGAGCCAGACTCCATCTCAAAAAAATAAAACCCACCAATTTGCTCCAAATTAATTTTTAGATTTCTCATATTCCCATCATAATACCAACAGTTTTAGAAGCCGATGATTCTAAAATTTATATAAAAATGCAAAGGACCTAGAAATGCCAAAAGAATTTGAAAAGGAAGAACAAAGAGGTCTTATATTACCTGACTTCATGAATGACTATAAAGCTACAGTAATTGAGGGAGTGTCATATTGGTTAACAAGAGAGCAAAATAGAATGGAACAGAATAGAGTCCAAAAAGAGACACATACTTACATGATCAATTGATTTTTGGCCAAGATGCCAAAGCAAATCAATGGAGTAAGAAGATAGGGAGTAACCAGAAATCTCACACATTGCTGGCCAAGTATAAAATGGTACAACCATTTTGGGAAAAGCTTTAAGTTTTATTAATGGATAATAAAAGGGCGAGAGTTTGACGAGTAATGGCATAATTACTAATTATAAATTAGACAAATCTGGTGGGTATCTCCCTAACCAAGTGATTGAAATTAGTATCAGATAAACTTGATGTAATGTGTCTCCTGATATAATATACTGAGGGGATGCCAATGTGATCTATGGGTTACTCCTGCTAAAAATGTATCATCTAAATCCAACCTTAGGAAAACATAAAAACACAGGTGAGGGATATTCTAAAAAAGAACTGCCCTGCATTCTTAAATAATCAAAGTCAAGAAAGACAAAGAAAGGTTAGGGAACTATTCCAGACTAAAGATGACTACAGATACAAGACACCAAAAAGCAACACATGATCGTGGTCTAAATTCTGGGGTGGGGTTGCAGAGTGACAAGGGATGCCCATAAAGAACATTACTGGGGCATTATTGGGATAATTGTCTATATCTGACTAGGAACCGTGAATTAGATTAAAGCGGCAGTTCTCAGTGTGGTCTGGGTTCTCCAAGGTACTTCAGGGAGTCTACAAGGTCAAAGTTATTTTTACAACAATACTAACAAAAAAATTTGTCTTTTCAATCTTATTCTGAGTGTATGTGAACATTTCCACAGGGTATATGACTTTCTGATATAGCAACTGAATGCAGAAGCATATGAATCTTGATGTTTTTTATTGAGCCAAACATTAAAGAGATTTAGAAAAGTATTTTTAAAAATGCCACTTGACTTAGCATGGTTGTCTTGGGGAATAGCATCTTTGTAATTGTCTGAGTAGTGAACTGATGGAGTTGCTTTTTCCACAACCCACTACAAATTTACTTGAAAGAACAAATAACGACCAAACTATGTTATTTAGACATTACGGCAGACATTTTCTCAAAAATGAAGAAAGGAAGAAGCATATCCATCTTGAAGGAAAATCAACAAAATTTGTTGCCAGTATTTTAATGCATGTTTTCAAGCAAAAATTCAAATTATTGAAAACCTACCTGCCATTGTAATCTTGACACTTTCCCAATACTTAAAAGTCTCTATGAGACTGACGGTCATATTAACAAATGTGCTTTTTGGGATACTGTAGTATAAAATATGCCAATATTTGGAAGACGTATGTAATTTAGGGAACCAATATTTTTCAAGTGACCAAGATGTGAGTAAAAATACATTCATGGGTAAAAGATCCAAGGAAAAACTAGATCAGTGAATTTTAACATAACAGAATGCCACAAGTTAGCTGGTATGGTTTCAGAGTCTATATTTCAACTATTGTTAATAAACAACCACTTGTCAATTTGGGATATGGAACCAAAAAAGAACATACACAATGATCTGAAAAGGCTATTAAAATACTACTTTCTTCCAAAATCACAACTATGTGAGGTCCAACTCTCTTCGTGTATTTCAAGTGTAAAACACGTTGTAAGACAGTAAATGCAGAAGCAGATGAGACTATAGCTGCCTTAGCTAGACATTAAAGAGATTTACAAAAATGGAAAACAATGCCACGTTTCTCACTATAATTTTTAGAAAGCTATTTTTAATAAAATGTTTTATGTCCACCTTAATAGATTTATTATTTGAATTGATAAAAATATTTAAAGTACTCAGTTTTAATTTCTATTAACAGTCATTTCAGTAGATGTAACCTAAATAAGGTAAGAACACCAATGGGTTTTTGTTTAAAGGTCTCAAAGGACCACGAAATTTGAGAAGCACTATAATAAGCAAAATCCAACAAGGGCCATGTCTAATTCCTTTAAACTCTACAATTCCGTGAATCCTCAAGAAAACTGAGACATGATTTAAAAAATAAACAAAGGTAAAGAACATTTTCCCACCCTCCCTTTATGAAAAAAATATAATCCAGCCTTTTCCAAGATACCTCTTGCTGTAAACTTTATTTTCATTAATAATCACAGCTTACAGCTGCATTATAAAATATTGGATTTTTACAGTTAATCTTAAAAAAGAATCTAGGAACTGGATTGAAGTTAATAAAAATGGCCTTCCGGGTGATGAAAAATGAGAACACATGGACACAGAAAGGGGAATACTAAACACTGGGGTCTATTGGGGGGAAAAGGGGAGGGCCAGTGGGAGGGGGAGGTGGGGAAGGATAGCCTGGGGAGAAAGCCAAATGTGGATGAAGGGGAGAAGGAAAGCAAAGCACACTGCCATGTGTGTACCTACGCAACTGTCTTGCATGCTCTGCTCATGTACCCCAAAACCTAAAATCCAATAAAAAATTAAATAAATAAATAAATAAAATAAAAATGGCCTTCATTGGCTACTTCAAAAAACAATAGGTTTATTTTGAATCTATAAAAACTTACTTGCATGTGTATATGAACATTTAAAATAATTATTCTCTTTTTTAAAAAAAATTATTATTTATTTTTTGAGATAGGGCCTTGTTCTGTCACCCAGGTTGGAGTGCAGCTCTGCTATCATGGCTCACTGTAGTTTCAACCACCCAGGCCCAAGCAATCCTCCCACCTCAACCTCCCAAGTAGCTGGAACCACAGGTGCATGCCATTATGCCCAGCTAACTTTTTCATTTTTGTAGAGAGAAGGTTTCCCTATATTGTTTAGGCTGGTCTCAAACTCCTGGGCTTCTGTGAAGATCCTCCTGCCTTGGCCTCCCAAAATGCTGGGATTATAGACATGAGCTACCATGCCTGGCCTAAAATAATTCTCTTTAAAAGCAGAGCTATTCTCTTATCTTTCAATCTCCTAAATGTGTTATTAGCTAAATATTTCAGTTAATTAAAGTAATTAAATTAATTTTGCTTTTTAATTGTTTATCACGCTTCTAAAATACATACTCTGGGGTCTCATCAAATAATAACTTACACTCCCTGGTATAGAAAATTAGATATATGAGCTCCTAACTATTCAATTTTGAAAGGAATGAGCATTTATGGGAAAGTCACATATTATCATTCAATTCATGGAAAGATCAATAAAAGGTTTTTATGAGTCTATTAATTAACTATAATAAATCTGAACTCCAGTACTGAATCACCACTTTACTTATCTCTTCAGACTTCAAAGTAACAGTAAAGTATCTGTATAAAAATATACAGATTATTCTCATCAAAATAATCTGTATATTTTTCTAGCACGAGTTTTAAAATAATTACTTATCACATTATAAATATTACTTACAACATATGTACATGGTATAAAAAATAACGAAATGAAGTTATCTATCCATACCCAGCTTTAGAAGAGTAACACTTAATATTACCTTTAAACACCCTACCCTCTCTGGATTTTGTATTTATCATTCTCTTTTCTCTAGTATTAATTTCTCATTTAACTTACCTCACCGACTTACTCACTAAAGAGTAAGAATGTGTCACATCCTTAAAATACATACATTTTAAAGAGTATGATTCATACCTTTAAGGAATTCAGATAGGGAAACATGAATATAAATCAATCATTATAGTAAGCCATTCAAGTATTAAAAGGGGTTAAGTAAATGCGTCAAAGAAAGCTTTTAATTCTGGTTGGAGAGGTTAAGAAAGGCTTCCCAGAGAAAGGGAAGTCTGAACTGAGTGTTGAAGAATAAGCGGGTATTTACTAGGCAAAGGGAGAAGCGATCCTGTTAATTCCAAACAGGGAAAACAACATTGCCAAAGAACACAGGTGAGAAAGTTGAGTAATTCCAGCAACTGTAACTGGCACATAGGAGATGAGGCTGGAAGAGTAACTAGATAGCAAATCTTGATGAGAAATTTCGAGGTTTTACTCTAAGCAAAAGGAATTATGATAAATAAATTGTTTTATTATTGTTGTTATTTAGAATTTCCTTTATCTATGTCCTTTAATAGTATCCTACACCAATTGACTCTGGACTTGGTTACATTATTGCTTTTTGCTATCAGGACAAGAAAAAAATTGATGGATTGCTCATGTCTACTTCATCCCCTTTGCAGCCCAGCAGCTGCCGTAAGAACACACTCTGGTGCTTGAGGACGTAAGGCTATGCATTCGAGGCCAGCCTGGGCAACACAGACAGCTCTCTCATCCATTGGAGAAAAAGAAGAATGACTAAGCCAACCTGTAGACTCATGAGCAAATCAACGCTTATTACTATATGCCACTAAAGCTTTGTGAGTGCTTGTAATGTAATAAACAGTGTAAAAGATAACTGAAACAAGGGCTGACGCTCACCACAGGGTTTAAGCAGAGGTGTCATAGGATCAAATACAGTATTTGGTAGGGTTTGGGTTTTGGTTTTGGTTTGTTTGCTTTTTTTTTTTTTTTGAGAAAGAGTGTCACTCTGTTGCCCAAGCAGGAGAGCAGTGGCTCCATCTCGGCTCACTGCAACCTCCACCTCCTGGATTCAAGGGGTTCTCCTGCCTCAGCCTCCCAGGTAGCTGGGATTACAGGCACCTGCTACCATGCCCAGCTAATTTCTGTATTTTTAGTAGAGATGGAGTTTCACCATGTTGATCAGGCTGGTCTTGAACTACTGAGCTCAGGTATCTGCTGGCCTCGGCCTCCCAGACTGCTGGGATTACAGGTATGAACCACCTTGTTTTTGTTTTACAACAGGGTCTTGCTCCATCACCCAGGATGTAGGCAATGGCACAATAATGGCTCACTGCAATCTCCACTTCCAGTCCTCAGGTAATCCTCCTGACTTGGCCTCCCAAAGTGCTGGGATTTTAGGTGTGAGCCACCACACCCAGCCCAAATATGCTTTTTAAAGACTGTGTTGATGAATGGAGACTAGGTCAGCAATGGAGACACAAAAAGTTTAAGAAACTATAAAGTTTAAAAAACTGCCAAAAGGAATGGAGAGGAAGAGACATTTGAAATGTACTGGCTGACCTGATGGATCACGCCAGGCACTTGGAGAACTGTTGGATCTTAGGCACTAATTAGACACATTCACCGAAGAAGAGGGAGGATTTTAGGATGAAACCTAGGCTTAATGCAGGAAGAATTGCAGGCGTCATCACGCTAGATTTACAATATTTTAGTAGAAAAAAGTTAGTTTAAAAAAAAAAAAATTTGTCTTTTGTTGTTGATGACAAATAATCATTTCAGAAAACAGTACTTCACTACTGAAAAAGGAAGGCCATTTATACATACTTTACTAGGGTAAGAAAAATAAATCAGAATTTCAACATATTTTTGAAAAAATAAAAACTGTCCAGTGATTAATCCCTGAACAGTTTTTATTAACATAGTTTCACAGTAAGCAGGAATCTAGTTACTCAAGATTAAAGACACAGTACCAGATCTTTGGAAATGGCCTTCCTAGATCAGAATCAGTGGGTTATGAGGCCTTTTTACCCCCTTGAAGCTCCTACTGTTTTGTTATAGTTTATTTTTCACTTATATCCTGAAACAGTTTAAATGGAGAGTGCAATTAAAATGTTCTATAAAGATCTGAAAAAATAGCAAACCAATTAATATTTGTTCTACTGCAGTAGAAAATCATGCACTTGTTTAATTCAAAGCCATAAACCTAAGCCATCTTATTCACTATGGAAATGCTTTATGTATAGTGCACATACAGACATATATATGCACACATACATACAATTTTAACTAAAAATAATATATATCATTTATGAAAACTGACATATATTCAAATTCAAAACAGTGAGATAGTGAGGGGCCCAGAGTGTCAAAAGCACAATATTCCATAAAAAAATAAAAATAAGATGATGTTAAAAATAAGAATAGAGGTGGTAGAGACATGAGCAAAAAGACAGTTACAGAGTTACATTTCTAGGCTAATGCAGTTGAAAATAAAATGATATAAAAATCCTCATTTCCATCACTCTCTATAAAACAGATTTGGTTGTGTATCAGTAGCTAAAGACCCAGTTATAGAAGCTGAAATTCAAGAGTACTTAAAAAGCTTCTTTATCACAAATTCTATTGCTACTCCTGCTGATAGACATTAGTCAAGAATATAATCATGCTGAAAAAGAAGTGCACATCTACATCCCTACTATAATATAGATGGATGAAAAGTCTGAGAACTTGCCTCTTTTTCAGTGTCTCTAGAGATACATGTCCACTGGTTCTCCTTCACACTGTACGCCCAGAAGTCAGCAAGATCTTGTGTTCCATCCCAGCCACCAAACAAATAAACGGTCTCTATGAAAATCAGAAAAATATGTGTAAAAAAAAAAAAAGGACAAAATAAGTATAGACACCCATACCTAGCCAACTGTTTCTAAGACCACTTAAGAAGGTACATCCAAATAAATTTTAAAATAAAAATTTTAACCTGGTAACCTTCTCAAATATATACTAGACTAGTATTTCCTAAGCATGGATATATGAAAAGGATGCTGCAGAACCACTATTTTCAGAGATTTATAAAAATACAGATAACCAGGAGGCATGTCCCAAGATTCTGATTCCACAGGTTTTCAATGGGTAAAAAAAAAGTTTGTATTTGTAAAGTATCCCACCAGATAAAGCTAATGTGCAGCTAGTTTGAAGTTTCTATGTTAGGCGGTAAAAAGTTTACATTTACCATTTACCAGCTTCTTAATAATGCAGCCACTTTTTATCTACTATGGAATTTTTATATTCAGATTACAGAAAATAAAAACCCAGAGAAATATATAGTATAAAAGTATAACATAAGAACACTTAGCTGTTTTTGAAAAAAAGCCTTACTAAAGGTAATTTTTCTCTATTGCTATATCAAAACAATGGTTAAAACTAGCTTTAAAATTATATAATCTTAAGAATAAAGTGATCCACAGCTTTGGTATTCCTATAAAAACTGAGGGAAATTTTTCCAAATACATTGTGGTATATTTCACTCATCAGAAATTATCGTTTAAGTCATTATAGGTATCTTGAGAATTTGGTTTCTTCTGACTCTGAAATGTCTATTATATTCATGGACTTTATCACTGACAAAAATAATTTCTTGCTTACTGAATAATGTATCTTTACATAAAACATTGTGTATCACATCATAGATCCTTCTTTATTTTTATTATTTATATATTTATTTAGAGACAAAGTCACTCTCTGTTGCCCAGGCTGGAGTGCAGTGGTGCAATCATGGCTCACTGCAGCCTCCTGGATTCAAGCAATCCCCCTGACCTAAGCCTCTCGAGTAGCTGGGACTATAAGCATGTATCACTATGTCCAGCTAACATTTTTGGAGGAGTACAGACAGGGGCTCACTATGTTGCCCAGTATGGTATTGAACTTCTGGCCTCAAGCAATCCTCCTGCTTCAGCCTCCCAAAGCGCTGGGATTACAGGCATGAGCCACCCCCACCCAGCCCCTTCTTTATGCAATAATGTGTTTCCGGCTCATTCCTGTAATCCCAGTGCTTTTGGAGGCTGAGGCAGGTGGATCACGAGGCCAGTTCAAGAGCTGCCTGGTCATCACAGTGAAACCCTGTCTCTACTAAAAATACAAAAAAGTAGCCACACATGGTGGCAGACACCTGTAATCCCAGCTACTTGGGAGGCTGAGGTAGGAGAATCACTTGAAGGGAGGCAGAATCACAGAAGGGAGGCAGAGGTTGCAGTGAGCCAAAATCACACCACTGCACACCAGGCCAGGAAACAGTGTGAGACTCTGTCTCAAATAAATAGATAGGTATTTGATTGATTGATTGATTGACTGATTGATTGATTGATAGAGAGATAGATAAAATAAAATAAAGTGCATTTGCTTTCTTTAAATATTTTCTCCTTTGTAACTGTTTTAAGTTTACCGGTTATATAAGCCCACCAATTATCTTTTAATGTTAAATAATAACACTATGAAAACTGTAAAGCCATGTACTCTCTATCACACTTTAGGCCTGTACATATGGAAGCTGTCACCTAAGTTATATCCTACCATGCAGGGTTACAATTCAAAGTGTACTTGGAAATACTAGAACACTTATTTAAGAACCTTTTGCCATTCACAGAGTTAGGTTATCTTCTACAAGATTTTTGTCGTATTTGCACACAATTTCAAACTCTAAGTAAATTTTTCAAGTGATTTGACTTTTACATCCCTCTAACACCTGGGGAAATAAAAGGATGCTTCACTGCTTTCTGGATAAGAACAGGCCACTGGGACAGGACTGAGTTCTAGTACTAAATGGGTGATCAGTACAGGTCATTTAAACCCCTGGGTCTTAGTTTTTTCATTTGCAAAACTCTCAGTGTTGTGAAGTCCTTTAGATATGCTACATGAGGCCAGGTGTATGGCTCATCTGAGGTTGGGAGTTCGAGACCAGACTGGTCAACATGATGAAACCCCATCTCGCTAAAAATAGAAAACTTAGCCTGGCATGGTGGCACACATCTGTAATTCTAGCTACTTGAGAGGCTGAGGCAGGAAAATCGCCTGAACTTAGGAGGCGCAGGCTGCAGAGAGCCAAGATTGTGCCACTGCACTCTAGCCTAGGCAACACAGCGAGACTCCATCTCAAAAAAAAAAAGAAAGTTACATGAAAACATTCTGAAGGCTGTCATGTATGAACAGTACTTCTACCTTAAAACATACATAAATATAAAAAATGCTCTGTAGTTACTAAGTACAATAAAAATGACACTGTATCCGACTACATGTCTAATTCAGTACAGAGAACACATTTGGCATTGTGTAAGTGTGAAATAATGGCAATTATTTTAAACTACAAAAAAACTGTCCCATCTTGGAACTATAAAACAATCCATTAGCATCAGTTGAGTAACATTCTGTTTCCAAAATGGCGTACAGTGATATCCAGACACACAAATTTACAGCCAAAAACAAAGAAAGAATTTTCATCTGGCTTAAAAATTATTTGCCAATAATTTTAAAGAAAATTAACCCTGTTTTAAATTCTGAAGCCTGGAGAGGGAGCGGGTGTATAACTAAAATAGCAATAGCAATTGACCTTTTGTTTTATAGTGTTCCTGGGCACCCTCTGGATAAGGTTACCCTGGTTCATTAACTTTAATAACCCTTCCTCTTGGACTCTGGGTTCTCAATGTTCTTTCTGAAAAGCAGGTCTCTTTGTACGCCTAAATTCTCACAGCAAAGAAAACCCACATTTCCACAACAGCCTCATTGATAGCTGAGCAAAATAAAATCTGGCACGCAACAAGCATCCTAATGGAATTAAGCCAAGATGTCATTCCTATCCATGAAAGCTTTGTGGTCCTAGCTGAAGTTTAATAGTAAAATTAAATGAATTGGATGGAAACTGAGCCTTCTGACATACCTGAATGAAAATGTGTAACAAAAATTCTAATTAAATCATCTAATTATTTAAGTCATTCACAGATAAGCTATTATTCAGAAATAAACATCAGAAAAGGTATTATTTAATACATAGAGGATACCAAAGACTTTTAAAAACTATGGAAATCATTGGAGAGAACTGTAGAAAGAAGTAAGGAAGTAGAAAAGAAAAAAAGAAAGCATTAATATTTGCAGTAGGGTAGTAAACTGGTTTATGGAAGTCCATTCTTGTGCTTATAGGTTCTATAATAATTCATGTACATCTGGGGTAGCACGGTCCTCTTCATTTCTCCCAGCACTTCGAAGAATGTTTATTCAACACTTTTTGAGTATGGAGAAATGGAAAAGCATTTTAGACAATTTAAAGAAAGAAGACATAGTCCCTAGTCTGCATCCTCAAGGAACTTACAATCCAGTCAAGAATATCAAAAGGCAAATATATCAACATAACGTAAGGCAGACTAAATGTCATAAGAAAGGTAAACAAGGTAAAAAGCACCATGAGGGCTCAAACGAGAGAAGAGAGTATATCTGGCTGAGGGGATTCAGAAGAGATTTCATGGTGACAGTGGTACTTGACCTATGCATCAGTGGGAAGGCAGGATACAGAACAAAAAAAGAGGACTTTTCAAGCAGAGTAAAAAGAATAACAAAAGTATAGAGACAGAAAAACACATCAAAGTGTTTTAATAGACACGTACTCTAGTCAGGCAGATCTTGGCTAGAATCCTGGCTCTATAACCACAGCTGTGTGACCACCACAAAGTTCATTAACTATTGGTTTCTTAATCTTTAAGATGTTATACATTATCTATCCCATAAAGCTGCTGTGAGAATTAAATTAACTAATGCATGTTAAATGGTTAAACTGTGTGACGAATAAATACACTGTTTGATTTAAAAGAATACATAAGTAGGAGGTGAACAAGAGGTTAAAAGACAGGTAGTGTCTAGATCATGAATGGGATTAAGTAACAGGATAAAGACTTTGAACTTGACTCCACACAGACAGTGGAGAAGCCACAGAAGATCTAAGCAGAGTAATATCTGCTTCAGGTAACATCTGAACTTGCAGCATACAGGACTGACTGAAAAGGAGTTGGGAATGACAGAGATTGGAGGTAAAGTGGCCAGTAATAGCCTAGGCTCGAAATGTCAAACAAATGTCATTCTAAAACACTGAGTCAATGAATCATCAATCAATCTATCTTTCATTACCTGGGCCACAAAAACTAAAATTCAACCATATTCTTTGGTACAGTATATGTATCAATATGGTATCAGTATAAAACAAACCCAAGAGCTACCTACACTACCAGTAGTACCAATCTATGCATCTTACACACTAAAAATGAGGTAGAAATTTAAGTTATATAAAGATATCTCAGTGTCTTTTTGCACAATGGAACAGGCTTTTTATTTTTAGTGTCCAAGTGCCATATTTGTCTTCTACTTTGATTTCTTAGGGATAAATCAGACTGTGCTGATTGCATAATCCACCACAAGATGGCACACTACTTTTGTAATTAAATTAGTTTTTCCACTTTGACACTGTATAGGATGCATATATTATGGACTGACACAGCTGTGGCCCAAAACTTAGACAAAATTCATTTATCAAAAAGAAGAAGTAGGAGAAAGGTTAACAGGCTGGTGAAAGAAGTTACCTTAATTCTTAGTTTAGACACTGAGAGAAAAACAAAATTTAAAAAAAAAAAAAAAAACATTTTAAGGAATACAAATTTAAGATAGAAATGAAATTCGATAAGAATATTTAGATGAAGAGTTTGAATCCTTCTAAAAGTGAAGTTTAGTAAGACTTAAATTGACATGACAATTTTTGAGAGAGGAATAAATGGTTAAGGGAAAGACATTTTATATGCTCTTGGCCCTTCCCT